ACATCCAGTTGAGGGTGATGGGATACCACGTGGCTCGCCTCCACACTGACTTGGGAGGTGAATTCAGAGGAAGGTCGCTGACCCAGTGGTGCCGCCCCCGAGATATACATCGCACTACGACTGCAGGAGTGTCCTCTCAGTCCAATGGCCGTGCAGAGAGAGCGATTCAAACTGTCAAGGGACAGATTCGCCGTCTCCTGGGCATGGCTGGTCTTCCTGCAAGTCGATGGCCGCAAGCATGCCACTATGTTCATGAACGTGAACGTCGAAGAATGGCCGACAAAGAGCTCAATGATGCGCCGCCATTTGGGCATGAGCTGTTGGTGAAAAGAAGGTTTTGGAAAACGAAGGAGCTAGAAGGTACACATGAAGTGGTGAAATATCTAGCTCCGCGACCAGATGCCCACGGACACCTCGTACTCCGACAAGATGGTCGAACGGCGATTGCACCATACTTCATCACCAAGACCAAGGAGCCAGAACCAAGCCAATGGACATGGCTGGCGATCACTAAGGCCATGGATGAAGAGGAAGACCCGCATGAAGTCAGGAGGAGGATCCGAGGAAAAGTCACGGCAAAAAGTATGAAGAAGGATGAATATGAAGAGATGGAAGAGGAAAGAAAAAGGGACCTCGAACGTCTCTCAAATGTGGTCCTGGAGGAAAGCGTGATCATGCTGAAAGATGAGGTCAAAGTCATGGACATCGTCTACGAAGAGCTCAAAAAGGTCAAAAGCGCCATGCCTAAAGAAGAAGAGTCGGTGCTTCGAACGAGGATCGTATCCCCCAAGGAGTTGCTTAGTGAAGCACCAAAGTGGGACGAGGCCATAAAGAAGGAACTGCACCAGCTCTTCGAAGAAAAGCAGGCACTGAAGCGCATCTCTGAGGATGAAGTTGAGCGCCTTCGCAAAAGGTGGGGTCGTCATTTGGAGATCCTTCCATCCAAAGTTGTGATCACCCTCAAACCTGGACCACGACGAAAGATCAGGTTGGTTGCCTGTGGAAACTTTGTGGATCAATCCACACCAGACCAAAAGGATCAATGTCTCTATGCTTCGGGCGCTGATGCCGTTTGCCTGCGCTATGTGCTGAAGCAAGCAGCTGAAAAGAGCTGGGGAGCCACGGTCCTCGACATCCGCACCGCATTTTTGAATGCACCCCTTGACGTAGAAGATGATGGCCAAGACCCAACAGTTGTGGTGCTCAAACCTCCCTCGCTGCTCATCAAGACTGGCCACGTGGGAGTCAAGGAATTCTATTTGGCGCAGAAAGCCATGTACGGCCTGCGACAATCGCCTCGGTGCTGGGGACTACATCGTGATGGTGTCCTTCGAAAGATGAAGTCAAAAGAAGGCCATCGATTTCTCCAGGCCGAAGCGGAACCAAACTTGTGGAGCATCATGAAGGGCCACGGAATTGATGATGACCGTGATGAATGGCTGGTCGGATTGTTGCTGGTGTACGTCGACGATTTGATGGTGGCCAGCGATCCAACCACAACAAGCCTGATCGTCCAAATGCTTCAAGATGAGTGGGAGACGTCCGAACCTGAAGTGGTTGGTCAAAAGAAGGTCAAATTCCTCGGCATGGAGCTGACCCAGGCCCCACAAGGCGGATTTCGAGCCTCTCAAGAAGACTATATCCTGGACAAGGAGGGTATCCCTGAAGGCCGAAGTGTGAAGGTGCCTATGACAAAGGATGCTCTGCCCTATCCGGAAGAACCTACAGCTGAAAAGATTACGGAAGCTCAAAAACTGGTGGGCGAGTTGATGTGGCTCTCAACAAGGACAAGACCTGATGTCTCCTTTGCCACTAGTCGATGTGCGCAGGAGATCTTGACACATCCCACCTGGGCTTCCGAGCAGGCCATACAGGTCTGGAAATATTTGAAGAACACTCCAAAGGAAGGTCTTGAGTTCCGCCCTGGACGAGGAGAAGGCTGGGATGGAGGGCCAAGATCTCTGGAGGTCTATACAGATTCAAGTTTTGCTGCTACTCCAGAGACTCAAGCCTCTCACGGGGCCGTCATGGTCCTGTGGAATGGAGCTATGATGTTTTGGAAAAGTGGAAGGCAACCGTTCCCGGCTTTGTCAACAGCCGAATCCGAGCTTGTAGAAGCTATTGAAGGTCTGCAAACAGGGGATGCTGTCGATAGCATGATCCAAGAACATGAGGATCCATACACCAAGACCCTGTTCGTCGACAACCTTGCAGCTACAGGATTCTTCGCAGATGGACATGCCAATTGGCGAACACGCCACCTGAGGCTTCGCGCACAACATGTCCGATGGAGGATCACAAATCTGGACTGGAGAGTCAGGCATCTACCTGGTGCTATCATGATTGCTGACTTGGGCACGAAGCCGCTTCCCATCCAGCGAACACTGGAGCTCAAAGAGCTTATGTCCATGGCCATCCAAAAGAAGGTTGAAGAAGAAAAGAAGGAGGTAAAGGAGGACGGCCCAGAGGCAGCAAGAGTGCAGAAGGAAGTAAAGGAGGACGGCCCAGAGGCAGCAAGATCAAAGAAGGAAGAATACATCCAAAAGAAGGTTGAAGAAGAAAAGAAGGAGGAAAAGGAAAGACCAAAGAAAGAAGGTCGCTCCGGACTTCAGATCAATGCCAACCAGATGCAGCTGGCAGTTCTGATGGCCATCATCGCGAAGGCTCGAGCACAAGGAGGAGGTGATGAAAAGGGCCAACCATCCGATGAAGGACCTTTGAAGTTCTTGGTGTTGGGCTACACCTTACTGGTTGTGCTTGCCACGCTCTACCTGAGAAGGTTCATTGCATGGCTTTTTGAACCTGCCGTTCCAGGAGGAGATCACGCAGCCGGGATTCCAGAAGATCCTCCTGTGAGTGGTTCACCAGGCAGCACAAGTTCAGAGCCATCGCAAGGAAGCTCAATCACTGTCGATTGGCAAGGAAGAGAAGTCAACCGGCCAAGTGCAAGGTCAAAAGGAAAAAGAAAAGGAAAAGGTCAAGGAAAGGGCGAGCAGACTGAGATCGACTGGGCCTATGGGGCTTCTCGGCCAATGACCCAAGAAGAAAGGAGCCAGTTCGGCATCCAAAATCGTGAATGGCTCATCAGATGGATGTCTTCGTTGAGCCCTGAAGAAAGGGTCATGGCTGGATTGGAACAGCCCTTGATGGGTTCTGGATCTTCAGGACCGGCATCGATGGCCACCTCGTCCAACACAGATCCCAATCTAGGAGGGATTCAAGAGGAGCCTGAACAGGAGGTCCCAGCAGAGGCTGAACCTGATGGTCCTGAAGCGATGGAGGTGGAAGAAGAAGTAACTCTTCATCATCCCACCGAAAGGGACTATCGTGACATCAGGCTGGATGAAAGTTGGGAACCAAGTGATGACCCTCCAACAGCAGCGCCGAAGGCGGCCCCAAGAAGGTTTCAGCAGGCGGGCTCAGCAGGAGGAAAGAGCGAAGGAGGATCAGAAGGTGGAAAAGGGGAAGGCAAGGGCCGAGACACTATTGGAGTCTTCATCACCAAGTTCGGCCAAAGATACCACCTATTTGAGTCCTGCCAGTCGCTTCAAACTTCGATTTTGAGGAGCTCTCCACCGTGCCACAGGTGTGCCTACTGCAGTGAGCAGAGCAGGCTTCGAAGGGGCGAACCGATCTGGTGTAGAGGATGGGGTGAGATCTACCACCGGAACGCCCCGTCGCCATTGCCCTGTTCCACTGGCAGCGAAAAGAAGTACGACCAGTGCACTCTTTGCTCCCAAGAGCTCCGAAGGAGGGGCTTGAACTTGTGATGATGATGTTCCAAGGAGGGACCCTAGCAGAGCTGTTGGTCCCTATGGCCATTTTGGCCTTGGCGAAAGAAAGTGGCTTTGAAGCCTACGGCTCATAACTGGCTTAGCTGGAAAACCTGGAAATGAATGGTTGGGCATGGAAAACTATGTTTGTTGGCTGCATTGTGTTGGGTACAATGCAGATGTTGCCGACCACACCCCGGGACAGCTGAGCTGGTGAAGTTTTGAGAAAGAAGAAGAGCACTGGTGGATCACCAACCACCGACAACGGAAGGGGGCTTGAGCCTGAAAGGGCGAGGAGGCCGAAGACCATCCTCACGAGCGGGAAGAACGGTTCATCCGGGAGTACCCGTGAGGTGGTCGAAGGCTTCGTTTTTCGAATGTTGGTGTCTTCAGAAGAAGACAGGGGGAGTGTTCACGCACTTCCTTGAGGGTTGACTGCATCACGCAGCCCTTTTTGTTGTGAGGGCCTGATGGCCTTTAGAACCTCCCACGAAGGAGGAACCCCAACCAAAGAAGCGTTGAAAAAGAACAGCGGATCTGTTTTGTGCATTTGGTTTGGGAACGTGTGTTTTCGGTCATGTCCGCAGAAGGGTATCAACAGTAACAAGTGCAGGATACAGCAAAGGCTGGGCTCATTCAGCCACATATGATTGGCGCGTACCGCGCATACCGTGTGCTTGCCGCTAGTCCTTGCGCAAACTCTTTCCGGTCTTGCGGATGCCACCTCGGCTAAGGCGCATTGCTTTCCATTGTAGCTTCGGCGCTGCATCCGCATGAGCAGTCATGAGCAGGGATGCCACGAGATCCACTGGTTGTTCCACAGTGCTGCAAGCATTTTTAGGCCCCCAGTCTAGCTTGACCTCACGTAGTGTGACAGTTGCGTCAACCAATTGAAGAACACACACCCAAACACTCCATGCACGTGCGAAGCCGAACTTGCAACCTAGACTTATTTGGGGCTTTGACCTTGGAAGTCACATCGGGCCACAAAACCAGACAAAATTCGGGAAGGAAACGTGGGTTGCATAGCCTGGCGATGTGCAATACCGACATAACAGTTTTGAGGTCTTTTTGCAGTTGCGTGCAAAATTCAATCGAATATGGCGAACAGTTTTGACTGACATGCTTGTTCGGATCAACCATTGGCCGACACAAATAGGATAGAAAGCAAACGCCTTGCCGCATTCTTGTCCAAAGAGACAACGCCATGGATTGAAGCTGCGCAGCATGAGCAAGGTGTTCCAGTCCAAAAGGACAACTGGAAAACGCCATGTTTGATTGGGAAGAAATGTTTTTTGGGTGGAGGGTGTTGACATGATAACCCGATTCTCAAAGGTGCGTGGTCTTGCATGCTGCAATCTTGGAACACCGGCTCGAAACAGCCGTCCTCATCGAAACTCGGCATACCCATTCCCACAAAAAAAATTACACCAGCGTAGACCCCAAACAGTTTTTCGCGTTTATTGTCCGTTGAATTCGTTGATTAAAAACAGACAGAATTCGTTGAATTCGTTGATAACTTTGCGTCATTGTCAAAATACACATAAAAGCTCCTTTTTGCATCTCGCGGCCACTTCCCCAATATGGCACACCCATTGTGTGACCCACCCACTGCCTGGCAAACCCAAGTGCTTGGCACACCCTAGGTGGGGGCCACGTGAATGGGAACCCTGTCTGATGCTGGCAACCAGCAGGAGACAGATCAAACCTGATTAAAAAACTCTCGACGTCGACCGGGCACTAGAATTGACATTGCCATAGCAACATCCGTGACAAACATGATTTTTTTGCATGTCGGCACTTTGTTGTGGAAGTGTTGGCTGTATGCAACTCATGCGCCGCAGTGCCGCTGATTGCAGCAAACTCGCTCTCAGCTCCACTCAGCTCCGCTGCTTCCTGACACGAGTACTTTTTGCAAACCCCAATCCCGCCGAAGAGGCTCTTGAAGTCTGAGCAAGCATCCAAACTGAGTTTGAGCCAGCAAGTACAATATCAAAAAGTCATAAAATAAATAATCTACAGTACATTCGGCCTAGCAAAATCAGAAGCAAGCGCACAGCGCATACATCAGAATTACTCTGTTGCGCTGCTTTCAGATTTAGAACTGATAGGTTTATCGGCGTGGCTCATTTGTCTCAAGACTCTCGCGTTTGTCTCAAGACTCAAGCTTTCATGGGTACCTGGCATAGCATCTGTCTCAGCCCGTATCACCTCAAACACTCTCAATTCACTGACACGCGCTGGCACTGTGCATACGGAAGAAGTGCTCTTGCAAGCGACTACTCGACTCTCTCTCTCTCTCTCGTCGCTCGGCCTGCAAGTTCGTCGGCAAATAGTGTTCGGCTCACCTGATGACACATGACTTTGAGAGGAATTGCACTCAGAAATCACAAGGAATAAATTCCAGCGATTCTATAATTCACATTCCAAGTACAAAACACAAATGCAAATGAAGTACTTGAAGGATGAAGGCACTCACCTTCGTGCTCTCGCCAAGTCTTGCATGCCTGCAGTTTGAGTAGTCCCCATGACCATGCGCAAGCTGCTTGGTAAATTAATGTGTATATAAGTTGATATCGTTTCAACAAAAGTCGAACCAAATCAATGCGAAGGGTTCTTCAAGGAAACTCCCCCGCCATCTTGAAAGAATCCTAACTTTTTCTGGGGTTGTCGGGCGTTACCTCTCCGCAACAGGATCGTCAAAGCGCTTCTTCTCTCTTAAATCGCACGGCGGTTTGAATCGCACAGCCTTACAGCCAAATCTAAGGATCCCCTGCGGGGTCCTGGCAAAATCGCAAATGGCACAGGTTTCTTGCGGCACTTCGCGAATGAAGTCCGCAAATCAATTCAAGGGATGCAGTGCAGTCCTGCTTCGCTGAATTCGTTGAGTTCGTTGAATTTATTGTCTGCCATATACACCCCCGTCCGCCCCTTGGTCAGTTTTGAAAGCCCTCCAAAACGGTCATAAAACGATTGGAACATGGCTTCTGACAACCGTTCCAGGAAGCATGGAGCAGCATCAGCCCCCTCCATGGTTCGTTCCAACCATCCAATTTTATGCGTTGCGCTTTTGGCACGCAACAATCCTGCCGAGTTGGCCATGACTTGACTATCTGGCGCGTGCATTGTGCACATTTTGGACACCCAACACCATCGTATCAGCCCCGCAACGCAGCTCCACTCACCTCCCAACAGGCTTCCGCGAAGCATGGAGCAGCACTACCCCCACCCATGCTTCGTTCTACTTGTGCACCCATCTTCCCTCCCCAGCCCCGTCCCATGCGCCATCTTCTCTGCCAGCCCCCCGTCTTGCTCCCCTCCATCTTCCCTCCCCAGCCCCGTCCCCGCCCATGCACCTCCCGTCTCGCTCCCCTCCATCTTCCGTCCCCAGCCCCGTGCGCCTCCCGTCTCGCTCCCCTCCATCTTCCCTCCCCAGCCCCGTCCCCACCCATGCACCTCCCGTCTCGCTCCCCTCCATCTTCCCTCCCCGGCCCCGTCCTCCTCCACATCCATCTTCCGTCGCCGACAACGCACGCTTTGTCTCGCTCTTCCGCGGCACTAGCGACTAAACGAGAACCCAAGCGTCGAAGATGCTTGTGGGAAAAGCATAAAAAGAAGATTGAGGCCAGCTCCTGGTCTGGATTCTGGGTCCATTGTCTGGCGCTCTTCTGGATAATGTTTTTACGTAGAAATTGGCGAGCATTTCAGCTCTATATCCTTGACCGCTGTGCGGCCACGCCATGCTTGAGCCATGTATTCACACCTCAAAAACATTTGCGCGCCCCCTTGCCAAAACCAAACACAGGTTTTGCACAGGGGCGCGTTCCCCAAGAGTTTCCTGCATTTTCCTCGACGTCTCAAAATGGCACTGCGCCCTCATTTTGATCACCTTGTCCATGTATTCTTCGAAGATTCCGCCTCTGGATCCATGGTAAACCTTGTCTAGTTTTTGCTTTTTTTCTCTGTCCACGCGCAACGCTGGTGTACAGGGTGAGAAGGTGAAACGGAGGTGAGGAGCCTGAAGCTCTACCCACCTGTTCTGCTAATTTGAAAACTTTGGGGCAAGTGTGTTGCAAGGTAGCCAGCGCTGGTCATATCCCCAGGTTCAGGTCGACTAGACTCGCACTTTTTTCGTTTCCGGAAGAGACGCTCTTGAAAGACACTCTGGTAAGACATAGAAGACACTCTCTCTTTGAGGACACTCTGATTTACAAGACATTATGAGGAAACTTTTGAGACTCTTTTGATACTCTTAGAAGAAGCCATTCTCCTTGACACTCTTGACCGACACGGGTGTCTCACACTCTTGGAAGAACGCCAACCCCCAAAATGGGCAGGTGCGCAGCGAAATCACCTGTGACACTCCCTCACACTTCAAAACGTCACGTTTCTACGGTATTTCACACGAATCTGACAGTTTTGGTACGTTACAACGAAACGTTGGAAGCATTTTCCCCAAGAGCAAGGCCTTTGAGCGCTACTTTTTCACCGCTCTGGCGCTCTCGAAGTCAAAAGTCTGGCACCTTCATGGCATGGATGTTTCTCCTTTGTCCGTGCGAATACCACAAGCACGTTTGCGAACGTTCAAAAGGCACATAGCTGAAGCTTGTGAGAAAGGAGTTTTTTTAAGAAACCTCAATCAGCCTCCAGCTTGCCACCCCAAATGTTCAGCCGCCTCCCGGGCTGCTTCGCGTGTCTCGTCAGCTTTGGATCCAAACAAGGTTGCGAAGGTTTCCAAGAGTTCTTCAGGAGGTCCGCTTTCGATGATGTTTCGGATTTTGTCGTTGAGCCCCAGCGTCAACAAGTTCTTGAAGGAGCGAGGGCGTGAAAGCATCACGTAGACAGCCAAGAATTTGATGTCTGCCGGTGATCTGGCAGGCAAAGTCATGTGCGCCACTAATCCGGGGGACGCTGTCGTTCCTTGCATCGTGTATAGGCTGCAGGCCTTCTCTGGCCAGAGTGGGAATGCCGTCCGCTTGATCTTCAATGAAATTTTCTCGTCTGGCAAGGTGTAAGACCACGTTTGCGTTTTTGAAAGCACTTGAATGACTCCAGGATATGACACACACTGGTCGCAGTGTCGGTTGAAAATCAAATGCTCCCCGCAAGGTTTGGGCGGCAAGAATTCCAAATCCACTCCTTCGAGTTTTACATAAACTGCGGTTGGGCGTTTTTTTAAATAGTATTCTGGGGGTAATTTTGCTGGGAGGCGCTCAGCAAAAGCAATGTCGACAATTGTTGCAACGGTATCCTGAACAGCCCAGGGGGGTAAAACCGATGTAGTCAGCCGTACTTTTTGCCCAAAGTGCAATAAGTTTACGCCTGGCAGTTTTTTTGTGGTGGACAGGTTCGAAACACCAAGCAAATGCTTGAGATGATGGGGCTCACAGGCTTGGTCAGGCCAATCTGCTGCAGGAACGAAAAATAGAGTTTGATTGGCTTCGCGGGCCGAGTGCCGTGCTTTAATAAAGGCAATCAAGGTAGTGATAGACCACAGGTAACAACTCTCATACCAGTCGCCGGTGGCTTGCACCAAAGCTTCTGGGGACTGGAAAGCAGCTTTGTCTTCTAGCCTAGTCTCCGACAAGTGGCTCCACTCTTGATCTGTCAGGCGCTCACCGCCGGGCGCCCGCATTTTGCGCAAAATGTTTTTTTGGATTTCGTCCTCAAATCTCATTGCTGTTTGAAGGACAAAGACTTGTGGGATTCGCGCGAACATAGCCAAAGCAGCTTTGTGTTCATGTCCTCCAACATCTGGCGTCGCAAGTAATGAAGAAGTTTTTGGGACAGGTGGAAGTTGTAAATGATCGCCTGAGAGAAGCATGAACGAGACACGGCCAAAGAGCTGTGTCGGCTGCGCGTACCGTGCCAAATCTAATTGGAATTGATCAGCTCGGATCGATGTGGCCCGCAAGGAAGCAGCGTGAAATAAAGTTGTTGGAACCTGTGACCACTCGTCTATGATCACAGCCCCCGCCCGCCCCAGGGTGTTTTGAAGTTTTTTTCTGTCTGCATGCCGTCGGACACACAAGTGGTAAGACTTTAAGCTATCGTTGGCACGGACACCAATTAGGTTATGTATTGTCTTACCGCCGATAATTCTGGCAGCCTTGTTGGAGGGAGCCGCGAGCTGCACATTGTGAGCCCCAAAATAAACATTCAGCAACGGTTCTAAGACCTGGACAATTACAGTGGTTTTTCCACAGCCCCCGCCGCCGACAAGGAGAACACGAACC